CATCTCTTTCCCAACTGCACCATGCTCTTCTAGCCACTCTCTTTCCCGTAGCAGCCCCCTTCACACCCCCTGCCAACTAGCTGCCACTTCCCCATATGCAGCCAGACCATCTAGCCCTCCATACCAGTATTTTTCCCTTAAACCGCAACATTAGCACCCTCAATCGAAGCCCTAGTTTTGGTTTGTGTCGTGTCTTTATGTTATTTCTTATTTTATAGTGTTTTTGGTTGTAATCTCTATATGGTTTCAGTAACAAAAATTACAGTTCCGTTGTCTTTTGGGTTAAACTCCAGTATCATTTGGTATTAAAGTTAGTTTACCCCTAGTCTTATCTTAGGGTTTCTAGCACCCACCAGTACCCAACTTTTTTTCCACCCAATGTTTTTCTTTTCCACACCTCGACACACCGTCCTCCTACCCCCACACAAACTCTAATCTTACCTCCTAGGAGGCAATCACCAGAGCTCGATTAGGAGTTTACCATGGACGAGATCCAGCTGGAATTCCGTCCTGCTACAACGGTTCACTGAACTGGAGGAAGGGATCAAGGAAGAGGTCACCGACAAGCGTGGTAGTGAGATCCGAACAGGAGAGGGAGGAATACCCGAATCTCTTATGTAGGAATGATTCTTGTGAAGAAGAAGACAGATCACGACACTTTGACATACAATATCAGAGGAGGTTGAAAAATGAATTGCCTGTTAGAGGATGCAGTGATGTAGTGACTATTAGAAGATATAGAGATGGAATGCCCGTTGAAGAATATAAACATGAAGTGTTTGTTTGAAGGTAAAGAGGCTCAGGAGGGAAAGTGGATATAGTGGATTTCAAGGGGAGAATGAATCCGAATGATTTAATATAGCGGTTGCAGGATAAATGACGGAGTAAGATTATTACTTGGGAGAATATGAAGAGAGAGTTTGGAGCGACATTATCTACTCTCACACTATCGTTAGGATCTTTTCTTGATACTCCACTGCCTACAAAAGAGGGACCTATCAGTGGAGTACACAACAGAGTTTATGGAGCTTAAGCTGATATGTGCTCTGTCGGAGTCAGAAGAACACACAATAACCAAGTACTTGGGAGGCTTGAAGCCCGCCATTTATAATATGATACAACTACAACCTTACCAGTCATTGGGTGAGTTCAGACTTTGGCACTGAAGGTGGAGAGCCAGTAGAAACAGAGCAAGCACCCATAGCCATTTAGGCAACCAGTTGCTGTTGGAGAAATCAACAGGGGAACGCCTCATGGAGTTGAGAAGGCTGGTCAAAAAAAGTCCAAAGCCAAACGAAGCCCGAGAAGTGTAGCACACCCACTACAGTTCCGGTCAGGAAATGCTTCAGATGCCATGGATATGGGCACATTGCCTCTAGTTGCCCGACGAGTCGAGTTGTATCATTTACTGAGCAAGGTGTGGTAGAGGAAGTCAGCGACAAAGAGGCAGCTGAAGAATAGGGTGACTACCATATTCCACCGAATGAGGCTGAGATGCTAGTGGCTCGACAGGTCCTACAGACCGAGACAACAAGGGATCAAAAGTGGTTTCACCACAACATAGTTTACGCCCATTGCTCTATGAAGGAAAGATATGTAACGACGAGCCGAGTTGTATCATTTACTGAACAAGGTGCAGTAGAAGTTAGCGAGGAAGAGACAATTGAAGAAAAGGGTGAGGAGTACCGTCCTCCACTGGATGAGGTGATATGCTTGTGGTTCGATGAATCCTACAGACTGAGACAAGAAGGAATCAGAAGTGACTTCACCACAACATATTCTGCACTCCTTGCACTGTGAAGGAAAATGTATGTAACTTCATCATCGATGGAGTAGCAAGAAGTGACATCTATATAGATGGTGGACAAGTTGAGCTTTATAATTCAGAGACTCTCCCAAACATGCTTCCTAACGTTGTTTGAGTAAGGAGAACAAAGTTAGCATTGAAAGGAGATGTCTTGTGGAGTTTTCAATTGAGAACCAATTGCAATATCAGGTTTGGTGCTACGTGATGCCATAGATGCCAACTATCTTTTGTTGGGGAGATCATGACAGTTTGATCGTCGTACTTAACATGAAGGGTTCCAGAATACGTACTCCCCCACGGATGTCAAGCCCATAGTCCTACTTTCTATGTAGTTTGAGATTGCAGTTGCCCTTGCCAAAAGGATATGTTTTGGTGATCATAGAGGAAAGCATGATAGAGGCATCGTTTCGAAATACATGCCATTTTATATAAAGAACATGTTAGGTCATCATGATCGATACTTTACCACCATTGCCGCCACCGTTAGAGGGAGTTCAACCTGCCCTCATGTCAGGTAGGGCTGAGCTAACCTGGGACTATTTTTGGGTGACTCTGTAGGGTACACTTGACACAAAGTCCCAGTTCAGTTCAGTAGTACATTCTCATATGGTTGGATTGATATGCATGACTACTTGTAAGTGGGGAAAACTCCTCGGGTGTTTTGGGAGATAGTGCAGTCGACAGTAAGATCCAGGTGCTTCGTGGGTTGCAGTCGAAGATTCATCTCCGGGAAGTTACATCAACTCAGCTAGTTTGAACTTGCAGTAAAAAGCTTCGATGAATGGGTCCAAGCTCCTCCAATCCCGAGAGACTGATGCAGGCGTAAAGGAGCCTCCGGAGCCTATCCCACAATTTCTTTGTTTGGACCAAACGGTCCATACTGGAAGAGGCCCGATCGGCGCTTCCATATTGGTTTGGCGCCTCCTTTCCATAAGGGGATTTAATCCTAGTTTTCTAGGGTTTATATATGTGATTCATGTGTTGTTTTAGGTTTTCAGTTTTTTATTGCATTTTTGTTAGGATTGCCGTAAGTGTCCTCTGGTCTCCCTTTTAGGGCTATATCCGAAGGCGGGTAGTGCTCCGACTGTGTCTTGTCTGAGGTGGTGATTATTCTCGACTTTTCCTGTCTTCCACAACTTTACCTCCGCTGCCGTCGCCGTCGCGGTCACCGCTGCAATCATCCCTCTCCCCAAAGACTGCAACCTTGTTGTCTCCTTGCAACCCAATCCTTCTTCCTACCCATTCAGCCACCTAGTCCACACACCTCTTTCTAGCCTCCAAATCCTCCCAGTCTCCCTGTCCATTTCCTGACCACTTTCACAGCAGCCCACTCCTCCCCATCCACACCCCACCCTTCCAGTTGCCGTCTTTCTTGTGGCAGCCCCGCTTCCCAGCACCTGCCAGTCAGACGTCAGTTCCCCTGCTGCAGCCAACCCATCTAGCCATCCGTGCCACTATTTTCCCTTGACTGTAACACCAACTCCCTCGACCGAAGATCTAGTTTGGGTTTGTGTTGTGTCTTTATGTTATTTCCTATTTCCGAGTGTTTTTGTTTGTAATTTTTATTTGGATTTAGTAATAAAAATTGAAGTTCCATTGTCGTTTGGGTTAACTCATGTATCAAAACTATAAATCAAATTTTCATAAAAGAAACTGTGGGTTTGAAATAAAAATATGGAATTTACATATTGGAGGAGTCGGAAAACCTAAAGTTGGTGGTGTATGTTATAGTTATGCATGCATATTGAGCAATTGAATTGAAAGATTACTATTCCTGTAATTTCAATTTTATTTATTGTCTTTTAGCAGAAGTTTAATTTTTACTATTTCTTTAAAATAATAAATTGCAATGATTTTCTTTATATTGGGAATGGGTTGGATTCTTTTATTTTTCTTTGGGAACAACTATTTTTGTACTTGATAGTAGTTTTGAGCTTTGTGGTTATTAGGTATACATTTGAACTTTTTTTTTAAGCATTTTACCCATTTGGCATTTAGGTATTTCCTTGGAAGTCTTTTGTTGTTCGATGCCTTGAATTTCTTGCTTGTTGTGATTAGATCTCTATCAAGTGTTGGATGTTGAAGTTCTTGCATCCTCTGCCATGGTTATGATAAATGTTATTGGAGATGGGACCTTTTGTTAGTGGTGGGTTCAATGATTGTGATTTATGCTACGATTTTAGCTTCTGTATGGGTTGATTTTGTTATTCAGCTTGTTGGTTGTGTGTTTTATATTTTTCTTATCATGGACGGTTATTATTGCCCAATTGAAGTGAATGTTTTTTGAGGTTATGGGTTGCTTGACTATTTTCTTATATTAATCTAAGAGAATTTTGTGATTGTTGAATGGGTCTGACCCATGTTAAAACTCAAATAAAGTATTTCTAGATAAATTTTATTTCGAAGTGCAAACTTTAGTTGTTGTCTTTGATATCAACTGACAAAAGTTATTTGGGAGATTATCTCTTTGTTTAAGCAGCAAGCTCGATTTAGTGACTTATTTTCATTTCTAAAATCTTGTAATCTATTTGTATTCATGATTGATTATATGATTTCATGTTTTTGAATTTCTTCACATTTTTTTTAGTAGAATCTATTAACTTATCATTTATGTAGATTTCTTGTTATTTTTTATCTTCATCTAAAATATTGAATATTTGTTAAAATTAAGAAATTGCTACCTTTAATTTGTACCTGTTTATTTGTTTTTGTGCATCTTCTTGCTGATTTGCTTTTGAAAACCATAGATCTCAGTACATCTTATGTCGGATTTAGTATTGGAGCTTAAGGTTGTGTTGTAATTTTAAGTAAAAAGTTAGACATTATAATTAGCTTTGTTGATAAAATATTAAAATGATGAAATTTAGACAAAATCAATATAAGTGTGAATTTTGTTTGTGTCAATTTTTGGTTGAAGTGTTAGGTTCGGGTTTGAATATGAAAATGACTAGACATGAATATAGTTATTAAAATGACTAACTTTTTACTACAATAATACCTTCTCTAGTCATTTTCATATTTAAATGAATAGGTCGAATGAATATAAAATTCTTGTTTTTTTTTTGTTGATCAAAATATTGTATTATTTACTCTAGTCATTTTCATATTCAAATGAATAGGTCGAATCAGAATATAAAATTAAGAGTTTAGATTTGGATCTACAATAACGCTTGTGATCTTAACATGAAATTGGAATTAAAGTTCAATTAGACTCTGAGTCTATTCTTGATCATGCAAGTGAACAAATCATGTCTGTTAAAACATATAAATCTATTAAAGAATCTAAACCTTTAACACCTGATGAAGTATCTATCAATATTTTTGCTAACTTTACAAGTATACGATTTTCAATTTATTGTATGATTTTTCTTAGTTTCAAATTTCTACACATTATTTCTGTTAGAAGGCTATGATTTTTTTTTTTAAATTTTTAATTTTCATCTAAGGAAACAAAAATTTATCAAAATTAAGAGCTTGCTGCTTGCAAAATTTTCTATGCGTCTACATGGATATGTGATTTGTTGATGCAAATTGCTGCCAATTTAAATTTTGTTATTTCTTTTGATCTGTAGAATTTTTATGGAATTCTGTATATTGCATGTAAACAGAAGTAGCGCGCATCCATAGCCTTTTGAATGTTAGTATTTTTTTTTTGCTTCATTTTACTTTTTGCTAAATTGTTTTAGTTTAGAACTGTTCCTATCATTTCAAGGGGTCAAGGGTTGGTCGATTCAGTTTTATTTGTATGAATATTTCACATTTTTAATTTTACATCAAGGTACCACCCTTAGGAAAATAATGAGTTTTGGAATTTGAAAAAGTTTGATAGATACTGTTCTTGATGGTGTAATATGTATTATAACTAAACATCCAACTGCCAATTTAATCGTGGTTAGCAGTCTATAGTTACAATGTATGTCTTTTTGAAATGAAAGTTTATTTATTTAAATGACAGTTTGCTAGAATTGGGTTGCTACTCTAAATTTGATTTATTTAAATGGCAGTTTGCTAGAATTGGGTTGCTACTCTAAATTTGACCACTGAAATACAGTTCATAAGCGACCTGTTCTGGAAACTCAAGGGAATTTTATAGTTTTGAAATTTTTGTGAATATTGCAATGCGCCAGGTTGCCTCTGTGGATGGCTTGATTTACATTTTAGACTTGAGTATATTATTTATTTACAACATTTTTTGTTCCACTATTGTGATGTGCGTTTTCCATGGAAACAAACAGGTTCATTCCTGTTTACTTATGAGCATGTTTTGTGCATGTTAATCTTGTAGGAAGTTGAGAAAAATGTGAAAACACGCACAAAAGGTGAACTTGGATCTGCCAAGACATTATGCACTCCTTTTGATCAGCCAAGTCTCCCTGAAGGTAAAAATCAAATTATGTACATGCTTGAATCTACCAGAAAAATAGAATTCATAATCATAGCAGTAACAAGCTACTTTTATACAGTGCAATTGAACATACTTTTCATTTCTCTAAAATAATTCAATTAAGGGCTTTCTTATTTGCATGTTGGGATCTAGCGAGCATTAAATAGTGAAAAAGATCAAATCCAAATAATTGGTTCAAGTATTTTTTGATCTATTTTAATTCTTTGATTAAGCATTGTTTCTCTGATCACATGCAATCTTTATGTTGTAGGGACTCTCTGCTTTGCATCAGGGAAGCCAGCCAAGAAGTGGACTTATTGGGGTCGAAGCTATTAATTATGGCTGATTTGCTAAATTTACTATTCAATTTTTCACGCTTGTTGCTTTTTAAGAATTTCTTCTTCTGATGCGTTTACTATACCCATCTTCAAATTTTATTCAGCTAGTTTTGCCTTGTTCTGTCTTTGAAAAGTGTCTGGCTATGAAATGTTTTACGTCCCTCTGAAACGTCATTCCGGTCTGCCAAGATTTTGTAACCCATTTGTGACATTAAATGACTAGTTTATTTCGATCATCATTATGTGTCAACATTGCCGCAGTACTAACGGTGATTCTTGTTTTTTAAAGTTTTTTGTTTCCTGTTTAGTACTCTGGTAGTGCAGTGCCTGGCTTTGCTTGGATTGAAAAAATATCCGATGAAATGAAATGGATGCAGATACTGTATGTGTTGATGTTGAATTTATAAATTTTGATATAAGATTTCTCATAAATATATATTTTTTTTCCTTCCCCATTCGATAATTCATAGCATTCGAGCAGAACCCAAATCTTAAATTTAGGTTTCAATTATTTTTGAACTCATGGTTTGATTTCATTAAAGATGATTATTGTAGTCTTTATTTTTGTTATCGACTTGTTTGGTTTGCTTAAAAAAAACAACTAAAAAATGCAAAATGCAAGGAAATTGTTTTTTGTTGTTTGGATAGATGCATGTAGAGAAAATAGAAAGAATGCATTATGAAGTAAATTGAGAAAATGTTTTTTGTAGATGTGAAATGCATTGGAAAGATGATTTTTTTTTTTGGACTTATAATTCTCTATTTTTTGCAAACTTAAATTAATATGCTATACTTTTTAAATAGATAAGAATAATTAAATGAATTTGAGAAAATTTGATTTAATGTTGTGATTTGATTAGGTTAAATTTATCTTAGTTATGATTGTTCATGTCTTTTAGAAATGTGTTCATCTTTATTACTCATTTTCATCCATTTAAATTAAACCAACAAGTTACAAAAACTGGTGGGCACACTTACATCTAAATATTAGGAAAAGTTAATATTTCACATGCTATTAAAAAATAGTATAAATGAATATAAAAACATTAATATATATGATCATTCACAATAACTTAGTGTTTTATACGTTTTACTATATCAGTAGTATTTCTATATCATATGTATGTCTACGTAATCGTCATAATAGTAACCAGCGTGAACAAATAAAAGGGTCATCATAAATTAAAAAATAAAAGTATTCACCTTGAACTTAAAAAATTCTTGTGCATGTAAAAATATTTTCGCTAATTTATTATAATTCAATTTTATTGTTATTGAAACATTTTTAATTAATTTTTAAAATATTTTACATATTTAATAATTATTAGATTCTCATTGTTTAGTCATTGCTTATTAAGTCATTTATTTCATTCTTTTAGCATACTTTTTCAAGTTGTGAAACTCTATACCTATATTTATTTAAATACCATTAATTAATTTATTTTTTATTTTATGATTGGATTATCACCATGATTTAACATTCTTATTTGACATAACCTCATAATTTAGTTATTAATAAATTATAATATATTTTATTGTCAAATTTGAGAATTTATATGTGCATACATATGTATAATTATCTCACTAAATATTTGTACTAGAATTTAAATTAATTATATTAATGAATCCTCTTGATATTTTAAATTTTAATTAGAAATTCCTTTTTATATGTTAATTTAAATTTGATAATTTCATTCTCAAAACAAATAAAGTTACTCAAAAGAAAACTTTGAAATTAAAAATACATGATTTTAATTAAAATTTTAAGTGAATCAATACTTTAAGTAGGTGTTTAGCTGTCTCTTGGATTTAATTTAAGTAGGATTTAGTAAATCCAGTAAATCTGATTCTAGCAAATCCAATTATGCTAAATTTAAATTTTAAGTTTGGCGTTATTTCCGTTAAATCTACTTAAATCTACAATCTATGTTTGGCATTTGTTTCAGGATTCAACATGAGGCTATCACTAATAAATATGGCTGCTTGAGGACTTTCCACAATTCCTCTGGTGGGCACACTTACATCTAAATATTAGGAAAAGAAAATATTACACATGCTATTAAAAAATAGTATAAATGAAAATAAAAAACATTAATATATATGATCATTCACAATAACTTAGTATTTTATACGTTTTACTATATCAGTAATATATCTATATCATATGTATGTCTACGTAATCGTATAATAGTAACAAGCGTGAACAAATAAAAGGGTCACCATAAATTAAAAAATAAGAGTATTCACCTTAAACTTAAAAAATTCTTTTGCATGTAAAAATATTTTCGCTAATTTATTATAATTCAATTTTATTGTTATTGAAACATTTTTAATTAATTTTTAAAATATTTTACATATTTAATAATTATTAGATTCTCATTGTTTAGTCATTGCTTATTAAGTCATTTATTTCATTCTTTTAGCATACTTTTTCAAGTTGTGAAACTCTATACCTATATTTATTTAAATACCATTAATTAATTTATTTTTTATTTTATGATTGGATTATCACCATGATTTAACATTCTTATTTGACATAACCTCATAATTTAGTTATTAATAAATTATAATATATTTTATTGTCAAATTTGAGAATTTATATGTGCATACATATGTATAATTATCTCACTAAATATTTGTACTAGAATTTAAATTAATTATATTAATGAATCCTCTTGATATTTTAAATTTTAATTAGAAATTCCTTTTTATATGTTAATTTAAATTTGATAATTTCATTCTCAAAACAAATAAAGTTACTCAAAAGAAAACTTTGAAATTAAAAATACATGATTTTAATTAAAATTTTACGTGAATCAATACTTTAAGGGCGTGTTTGGTTGTCTCTTGGATTTAATTTAAGTAGGATTTACTAAATCCAGTAAATCTGATTTTAGCAAATCCAATTATGCTAAATTCAAATTGTAAGTTTGGTGTTATTTCCGTTAAATCCACTTAAATCTACAATTTATGTTTGGCATCTGTTTCAGGATTCAACATGAGGCTATCACTGATAAATATGGCTGCTTGAGGACTTTCCACAATTCC